AAAAAAAAAAAAAATTGCACAAATAGCTTGTTATGGTTCAATTTCAATCCATAGTCACAGTAATTTTTTAAAACTGTCAAAATATTAAATAGAGTATGGCAACCTGTATGTATTTTATACACCATTGGTATATTGGTATTGGTGTAAGGCCAATGTGGTGCCTATATTTAAAAAGGGGTCAAAGTCTTTACTGAGTAACTATAGACCTGTTAGTTTACCTTCTATAGTTGGCAAGATGCTGGAGAGTTTAATGAAAGACCACATAGATGAGTTTTTGCTAGAAAAAAATATTTTAAGCTATAGGCAGTGTGGGTTAATGAAAGACAGAAGTTGCCAAACAAGTAAGAGCTGTGAAAATGTGGAATAGACTCCCTCAATACCTGGTTGCAGCAAAGTGGATCATTTTATTACTTTTTTTTTTGCCTTCCTCTGGATCAGCTGTGGGTATGTGATAGTTTATATGGAGGTTTTCTATTTTGTGTGTGTGTGTGTTTTTTTTCTCTGTTGGTTGAACTGGATGGACTTATATATATTTTTTCATCCAGATTAACTATGTTACTATGAAGTGTCCCTTAGAAATGTAATTTCTTGGGACTGGATCGGACTGCATTGAAATACAAGTAAACTTTTAGGCATCCCCTGCAAAGGAATTTTATTTCTGGTGAGATAATTACGATAATTATGAAGACATATGGAGTGGAGTTCCTCAATGGCGCCTCAATCCCGAAGTTGCATAAGCAAGACCTTAAACCCAGGCTTCTGCCCAGTCACGTGGTCATCCTCTCAGGCAGCAGGTCTAAGAGGATTCAACAGCCAAACACATTCCATTCCATCTAGTCAATTCATAAAAATTGTTGTCCTCTCATCTAAAGTTTAAACTCATATCTGCATTCATTTAATAGTCCAAAAACTGTTGGAACCCTCTGGTGGTACCTGTTTTGAAAAATCAGGCTTGAAGATTTGAGGTCATCACAACCACATATGGGATAAGAATCTGACGAGTCCCTATTCAGGGCAACATAGTGATGTCACTATGTTGCCTTTTGAAAGGGACCCTATGAAGCCTCGAGAAGTCAAATTCTTTTGTCTTAAGTGATGCTATCTTCACAATAAACATGTGAAATGCATTCATTTGGAGTGCTGATGGCTTCACATCTTCATGTCTGGTTCTGGCAGGGCACCACCCTTGGCATTCACTTTAAGCAACCCATCATTAAAAGATCGAGTACTAATTCTTTAAAGCTCTATAAAATTTGAGTAGCTTCACCGACCATAGTGGGTCAATACAACTACCTGTTTTTGTACCATCCATAATACAATGTTATTATGTTCTATGTTTTCTGTTCAGACGACTCTGTACCTTCCTCTGTCATTTTAGACCCTTTGGGTTTCAACATGTGACCAATGTTTGTTTCTTCTTGATTTGGTGAACCCTCATGTAAAGAATATTTAAAAAAAAGATTGAGTACGGTGAGGAGTGTAGCTTCTATTTGGAACATGCACTGAAAACTAGACAAGTGATGGGAATAATAATCCAGAGTTGGACTTGTAGGGATGATGGATCTAGAACGGAACGATATGTTCCATCTCAATTTTTAAAAATAAAGGATATAGACTCGTGCATACTCTATGTTTTCCATTTTTGAAACCTTTTCCTTCAACCTGAAAACTGAACCAGCCTTTCAAGACAAGGCAACAATTGTTCTGAAACAAATACTTGCAGCTTTACTGCAGAAGCATTTCAGGAAGGAGATTTAAGCTCAGCAACAGCTTTTGTTCAGCGTTTGAAATTCAAATAGAGTGAAAGAAAAAGGTCTCGGGAATGTTTCTGTTCAAAAGCTGACATAGCTCCATGCGAAAAGCAATTTATTTTAGATTATGGTACAGCAGCTATATCTTAACTGCTAGAGATTGTAATTGAACTCACAAACAAGTTCTACTTCAGCACACGGCCAAAGGAAACATTTATTTAGGTTTTTTTCCAAAAAAAGGCCAAAAGGTTCTAGATTGGGTCATAGAGGGGAATGAACTGGCTGTGATGTACAATGACTTGCATAAAGTGTTTTATAATGTACTGTAGATGCCTATGTCTGTTTATATAAAAAAGGATTTTAATTTGGTTGAAATATGTTGTATAAGCATGCCCCAAGACTTGGTAATGGTTCAATATCAGAGTGGCTTAGAATGACCAGCTGCTTAACAAAATGCAGTCAAAAGATGACAATCGATATACTGTATATACTGTTGGTATTTGTTTATGTGCCTATAGTCATCCTATGACTACAGAAAAAGGTTACATTGACAGCAAAGCTATACACTATATCTACCAATGGGTCAAACATTTGAGTGATGCCAGTCTCAACTACCTACAGCTTTGGGAAATCGGCTCCTTGTAGATAATCCTAGGGACATGTAAGGGATATGCACACCCTAACAATGAAGTTCTCATACTTGTTCTTTTTTGGTCTCTTGAAGTATAACTAAACACAAAAAACTGGTTTAGCTTTGGATAGAGTGTCCAGTGATTATAACCTTTGGTTGGTTCACACTCTGTTTTTGGCCTGATGTCCAACGTTAATGGGATGGGAAGTGAGGAAAATGTAATATTTTGAGCTTCTACCAGAACAGGAATAGCGGGAACATTTTCTATTGTGGAGACTTGTTTCTAGGAGATTAACTGCTTTTTACGAGGAGATTAACCTCCCAATGGAAACATTTGTTCTAAATTTCCTGTTGTTTTTACTGAATAGGAAGTAAAGATAAATCTATTGAATGAGACAGAGATAGAAAAAAGTTTTAGCTTTAAATAAACCATTTTGTTAAAAGTGCAAAAAAATACTTGTTGATGTGGTCAGAAATATTGTCAAATTATATCCCTCTGTGTTCTTTGCCTACCCTTACTATTATTGGTTACATTGAAGATCTAAGAACTACCAAATTCTGCCCATCTATGTTATAGAGAAGAGGAGAGGTTTAGGTTTCGATATTCCTGTATTGTTCATGTTGTCTTAATACAGTAGGGTAAGTGAGTGTTGTCACACTAGAACAGGAAATGGTTTACTGACAGAATCACCAGGTGAACATCTAAGGACAAGTAAGTTGCAATATATTACATGTTCACTTTGGGTGTAGATTCATTTCAACTGGAATGTAGTCTTTTAAATGAGATTAACAACGTATGTGAAAATGTTATCACTACAACTTTGTTTCTTGTATTTACATCCATACAAGAGGCAATCGGGGCATTGGTGGGGTCAAAAAAGTCTTGCTGTGCAGCTTGAGATCCTCCTCCTTTCTGCCCCATGCTTGGACCCGCGCTGACATCTTCATGTGCAACGTCATTGGGAACCCTCAGGCTCTTCTGGGTTCAGCCAGTGGCTCTCCCAATGGCTCACCATCCCTCTTCTTTTCTCAATGCAAGCTAATGCCTCCCAGAATATGTGACGTGCATATACTGAGAGGCACAGTGGGCAAAGTACACTTAATTCACCTAGGCAAAAGTGCACTATGCGAGCCAAAAGAGTTTGGAAAGAAAAAACTGGAAAAAGCACAGCTTTCAATAGTGGAGGGGAGGAGGGGTGCAGAGAAGGGAAGATGGATAAGAGGGTGAAGTGTCACTAAAAGTGATCCTTAGTGATCTTGTACTTTACTTGCATTGGTCCCAAGCCAGAAAAACAGGGCACTCAAAAAGCACACCCAAGAGCACTTACAACCAAGTTCTAGCACACAACAAATTTATTTATTTTTTTAACATTGAACCTTTTGGGTCTGTTTATCAGAGATTCAAAGCTCATTTTTTTTTTACATTTTCCCCAAATTCTTTGGTGAACATGTACCTTACTGATCAAGCTAAATAATAAAAATTCACCCAAGAATTGACCAAGATTCAGCCAAGATCCACCCATTCTCTGACATTCAACAACATCTGTTCTTCAGAAAAAAAAGGTATTTACTGTAATATTCATCCAATGTAAGAAAAAGATGAATGTTACATTCCCTGCACATTCCTACTACATTCTCTCAACTGGTTGAGTTGTAGAATTATTGCATTTTCTTGTTATTCCACAAGAGCTGTCCATAGAACTTACAAAGGTAGCAGTGCCCGATACTGGTGCTGAACTGAATGTTATCACATGTAAAAAAGTTAAATGTTCTATCATTCTCAGTTATCCATATTATTCATATTAGTAATATTGCTATCTCATGTGAAAATGTAACAAAAAAATGCTATAATTCTCTATTCTTCTTCTTTTTCTTCCTATTATGCTATTTTTTTTATGAAAATGTTAAAAAGTTGATAATTCTCTATTATTATTATTTATTATTATTATTATTACTATCCTAAAAATTCTCTAGTTATCCATTAAATTATCTGAAAAAGTTTAAAAAGTCTATAAATCTCAATTGTTTATTAATATTATTATTATGATATCCAATGTGACAATATTAAAAAGTCTATAAATCTCAATTGTTATTATTAATATTATTATTATGATATCCTATGTGACAATATTAAAAAGTCTATAAATAGCACTTATAATAATAATAATGATACTACTACTACTAATAATAATGCTATCTTGCGTGAGATTGTTAAAAAGTCAATAATTATCAACTATTATTATATGTCAAGTAGCTTGTTGGGTCTCTTATTTACATAATTATCGCAGAGATATGCATTGAGGTTAAGCCTTAGTCTGGTTTTTATTTTCCTTTCTCTTGCTTGCCTAGTGGGTACTGTGGCTTGGCTTAGAGTGGCTCTGGGCTTATGGGGGATCTCCCTTTGTTTGTGGGAAAGGACCACCCTGTGTGAGTAATGCCTGTGCTTAGAGATTGTACCATATGGGGTTTTTATTATTGGTGACGTTGAAGTTTTCTGCTCTTTTGTGACCACTACATAGAAAGTAATGAGAAGGAGGAGAGTGTTCTGCACTGTGATCTTCTGTCAGTAAGTGAACTATTAATGTGCTGCAAAGTGCCTGTAACCCTAAAGTGTTACTAAACCCACAACAGTAAAATCAGTCTGTATATGCAGTAAAGCATGCTTGTTATACTCACTGTGGAACCTAAGCAGTTATCATGTAAAAACACTGTTTGATTCTGTCTTCTTTGATCCTCCCCTTCTTCCAGTGCCCCCCTCTTGTCTCCTGATAAGACATATCGTGTGGAGTCACTCTGCACATGCTCAATTTAGTGTGTATTGCTAGAGAGGTTATTTTTCTTGGGAGGGTGCATGGGATCAGCACAGGGGTAATCAGCCAGAGGTCAGGGGTTCTGCATCCTCCGAGATCAGAAAGAAAGCTCCTCCTACAAGATTTAACCAGTGCTCTTCTGGACACTGATATAAGTCACAAGACCACTCTAACTGCTAATGAGAAAAGGTATTTAGAAGTTTATATTTACTAAAATAATTGCATTTCCATGTTGTGTGTACTGTGGAAGACCAGATATAGTGAATGCAGAGTCCTGGGTTTAGTAACACTTTAAGAATTGTGCTGGAGTGACATGTGCAGTAAAGCAGTTTAAATGCATGTGGACATTTATTTATTCCTGCTAACAGTCCTCAGGCCATGAATATGTGCATGATCAGGGTTTAGGCCACTTGAAGGTGTCCAGAGTCGTCTTGGAGGTGTGTTTGGGGTCCTTATCATGTTGGCATACTGCCCTGTGGCCCAGTCTCCAAAGGAAGGGTGTCAGGGTCCTGTCAGACTCTCCTCTCAGGGGAGTCCAGAACTTAGCCGCAAGGGAAGCCCTCTCTCCATTGGCCTCCATCACCAGGTATGTGATAAAGGGGATCATGCTCTGCTTCGGTATGTCACAGTACATGTTGGCATTCATGGTTCCCTCAATGAACTGTAGCTCCCCAGTGCCGGGAGCACTCATGCAGCCCCAGACCATGACACTCCCACCACCATGCTTGACTGTAGGCAAGACACACTTGTCTTTGTACTCCTCACCTGGTTGCCGCCTCACACGCTTGACACCATCTGAACCAAATCAGTTTATCTTAGTCTCATCAGACCACAGGACATGGTTGCAGCAGTCCATGTCCTTAGTCTGCTTGTCTTCAGCAAACTGCAGGCTATCTTGTGCATCATCTTTAGAAGAGGCTTCCTTCTGGGATGACAGCTTCTTTGGTTGACCATGGTGAGACCTGTTCTAAGTGGAGCCTGTCCTGTTAAACCACTGTATGGTCTTGGCCACCGTGCTGCAGCTCAGTTTCAGGGTCTTGGCAATCTTCTTATAGCCTAGGCCATCTTAATGTAGAGCAACAATTCTTTTTTTCAGATCCTCCGATAGTTCTTTGCCATGAGGTGCCATGTTGAACTTCCAGTGACCAGTATGAGAGAGTGAGAGCGATAACACCAAATTTAATATACCTGCTCCCCATTCACACCTGAGACCTTGTAGCACTAACGAGTCACATGACACCAGGGAGGAAAAATGGCTAACTGGGCCCAATTTGGACATTGTCACTTAGGGGTGGACTCACTTTTGTTGCCAGCGGTTTAGACATTAATGGCTGTGTGTTGAGTTATTTTGAGGGGACAGCAAATTTACATGTTATACAAGCTGTACACTCACTACGTCACATTGTAGCAAAGTGTCATTTCTTCAGTGTTGTCACATGAAAAGATAGAATCAAATATTTACAAAAATGTGAGGGGTGGACTCACTTCTGGGAGATACTTATATATAGGAATATTATTATTAAAAATATAAACACAGCCCATGCAAGTCCGTGATGGTTAATAGAATTCACTTTACAAAGTGCAGTCCACAACAGTGCTCCATTATTCTCATGTGTAAAGAACCTCCAAAGGAACACAGTGATATGGATTTAAATAGCCGTGCATACACCAGCTGTGCTCTCGGGTGGTCTCTCACCTGCAAATCAGACCACACAGGTCCAAAAGCGCTTTAGTCCCCGGTCACACCAGGGGCGACTTGGCATGCAATTTGCATGCCATACGACTTGCAAATCGCATGGCAAGTCGCACCCTGTTGTCCGCAATTACAAGGTCATATCCGACTTGGTCGGATATGAGGCAGTGTACCAGTTTGACCATCAGTTGTTTACTAACAGTGTATGGCCAGCTTAAAGTGGTTGTAAACCAAAGATATTAAATATGAACAAAGCATATCCCTCTAGAGTGTGTACTTGACTCAATTAAGAGCTGTAAGCGTCTGCTGTCCCCTTTCCTCTGCTATATGCATGAGTCACTTCTGACACGTTTTCCTGACACCAAGAGAAAAAAGGTGACAGGTGGGTGATCTCCAGCATACAGCCTGTGATTGCCAGCCAGCAAACCCAAATACTCCTTCGCTTGGGGATGGACTCAACATAGGCTATAACCACATCTCAAATGTCCTGGATGGTGCACGTTTTGCTGTCCTCAAAGGACCGGGGAAGTCCAAATACACTGGATGCAAAGAAAACAAACAGAGGGCGCACCGAACTTGTGCATTACCTTATTGACAGAAATAATAGGTATTGTACTCACAAATGACAATAATGTCAAAGGCACGTCATGAAAGAACAGCACTGCCCAATCCACACTATGTAACTGTCTGCAATGGGAACCCTGGACTCCCAATATGCTAACGCGTTTCAAGCACTTGCAAAACGTGTTAGGATGTTGGAAGTCCAGGGTTCCCATTGCGGGGAGTTATGTAGTGTGGATTGGACAGTGCTGTTCTTTCATGACATGCCTTTGACCTTATTGCCATTTGTGAGTACAATACCTATTATTTCTATCAATAAGGTAATGCACCAGGCCGGAGCGCCCTCTATTTGTTTTCTTTGCATGCTGTGATTGGCAGCCTCAGCTCTGTTCCTGTGTGTTGTGTGAAGGGCGGTATGTCCCTTTCCTCCAATCAACTCTCAAAACTCTCCTCACCGGACTTTGCAGAGTATAGCTTCAGCATCCCGCCCCTGTTTTCTGAAAGCCCAGAAAAGCGTTATAAATTCTAGACTTTGAACAGATGTAGAGAAAATAACACTGCAGGTAAACAGGTGCAACTTATGCTCGTCACGTCACTGAGTATATGTAAGGTTTATAGCCACTTTAACTGTGCAAGAGAGCTTTGGTGTAAAGCATATTTCTGCCTGGTACTGCTCTGGAATTAGCACTAGAAATGGGCAATGGCCGTCTATTGAGCTAAAACGTAGCCTTGACTGTGGCAGGTAACAGCTGTCTTGGCTGGTTCCTGTAAATGAACACCGGTAATTTTTTATTCCCTGGAGCTGACTTCCTACTTGTGTGGAGATCTGTTAACAAAGTAGAGAATATTGTAAAGTTTTCAGCAATATGTAACTCCTTACAATCTGCTATACAGAGATTGCATGGCAAACTGTATTATTCCTGTTGGCATGAAGCATGTGCAATCTGTTCTAGGACTAGCAGATTTTGATAACAGGCTTGCTGACATTTTGTTTCTGCTAGCTGCTTATGCTTTCGCAGCCTGCAAGCACATAATGTAAAACTTTTTCAGAATGCGTCCTGCTTTGTTTTCAGTTTGTACTTCACTCAAAAAAAAAAAAAAAATCGGAATATTTCAGTAATTATAAAGAATTAAATAATAAAAAAAATAACAAACCTGTCACACTTACCTGATCTGAGCAATGGTTTTCCACTGAGCAGTCTTGATCCCTCTCTCCTGGGGTCCCCTGCTGGGGCTCCTGGATCGCTCACACCCCTAACCAAGTGCCCCCATAGCAAGCTTCTTGCTATAGGAACACTTGTACATGCTTGCTCCTGAGGCCAGCTCGGCTTTGCCCCCAAACTGGCTGTGATTGACAACAACAGGAGCCAATGGCTCCTACTGCTGCCCCCCGAGCCAGTGAGGAGTGGGAGAGCAAAGAAAGTCTCAGGTAAGTATTTAATCCAAACGCGTTTCGAGGACTTGCAAAACGTGTTAGCCTGTTGAAGTCCAGGGTTCCCATTGTTACGTGGTGTGGATTGACAGTGCTGTTCTTTCATGACATGCCTACCTATTATTTCTATCAATAAATGTTTTTTTTAAGGTAATGCACTACTAAGCCGGTGCGCCCTCTGTTTGTTTTCTTTGCATCCTGTGATTGTCAGCCTCAGCTCTGTTCCTGTGTGTTGTGTGTCCCTTCCCTCCAATCGCGCAAATAAAACTGAGGGACGCACGGTGCCCAAAAAAGGTTTTGGAACCTTTTTTGGGTTTCACTCGTCCTGTTGATTTTGTTTGCGCGATCGCAGTGCATTTGCTGTGCGGAAAACCGTGCCGCAATCACAGCAAAAACGATGCCTATCAACAATGAATGAATAATATTTCCTCCCCCATTTGCTCCATCCCCTGACTTCTCTGTGGTTATCAGTGGCACAACTATCAGTCCACCCCGCATACCAGGGTGCAAGGTGTAATCCTGGATTCTGAACTCTCCTTTCGGCCCCACATCCAATTACTGTCCAAAGCTTGCCGCATCAACCTCCACAACATACGTCCCTTCCTAACCAATGACACCCCTCCCTTCTGATTGGCTTACCTTTACATAGGCTATCCCCTCTTCAGTCCATCATGAATGCTGCTGCCAGACTCATCCACCTTACCAACCTTTTAGTGTCTGCTACCCCTCTCTGCCAATCCCTCCATTGGCTGCCACCCAACTAATTAAATTCAAAATTTAACAACAGCCTAAAAAACTATCCACAAATTGGCCCCCAAGCTACATCACTAACCTAGTCTCAAAATACCAACCAAATCGTTTTCTTTGTTTATCCCAAGACCTCCTGCTCTCTAGCTCCCTTGTCACCTTCTCCCATGCTTGCCTCCAAGACTTCTCCAGAACTTTTCCCATCTTATGGAACTCCCTACCCCAATCTGCCTCCTAAACTATCCATCTTTAGATGATCCCTGAAAACCTTTCTCTTCAGAGAAGCCTATCCTGCTTCCAAATAAGGAAATAATCCTCTTGCGCTGCCAAACCTAAAATGATAAACTAAGAATGGCTGCAAACACCAAATTGTGTTCCAACAACACTAAAAAATAAATGAATAGATAAATAGTGCTGCTGTACTCACTAAACCTAATCCTAAAGCAAAACGTAAACACCCATCTTGACTTCCTATCCCTGAGGAAGTCACGTGATTTGTGATGTAACGCATAGAAAGGAGGTGTGCTGACATAATTTCTAGTTGGATGGCGGCTGCCATCTTGGTACACCTGTTCCTATGTATTTT